ACGGTATATTCAAGGTTTGACACAGCTAGGAGTTCTAGCCTTTGGGTATAGGAATGTGCGTTCATCGAAAAACTGGGATTTCAGATCCATATCTCGCCTTTTTAGCTGTCTTACCGAGGTTTGAACCCCACGAGGGGTTCAGACCTCGTGCGGTATCTGCGTGTTTTGCCACTTTCCACGCAGCGGCAACGTGTAAGACGGTGGTACATTTTAATGGAACTAAGATACAGATAAAATAACTATTAATTCTAAACCCGGGCTCAAACCTTGAGTACTGTGACTGTGGTATTATAGGCTTTGTTTATGTAAAAGTGATGGTTAAGAAGTTTTTTTCTGATGTGTTAATTCGGCGCACCACAATCTTCAATATGCTATTTGCAAGCCGTAAACAGGTTGCGCAGCATTCCCTTTAAATATTCGGAGCAATGGCGGTCTACTTTAAAGTTAATTAAACTAAAAATGAAAGTTACTAAAAGATAGCTGAGTCCCTTGGCAACCTGTTACTGATGAGTGCAATCCAGTATGGGAGGACGTTTTCTGTAGAACAACGATCTTTCATTAAAACTCGGTCTTTTTCTTCGGGTCTTGCCATAGACGCAATGTAAATATTTTTGATCGTCATTTGGCTGTGTATAACGTGATCGTACGATTTCTAAATTTTTCCCAAAAAGTTCGGACACCGCACCTAACACAACCTTAATGAGTGCAAAGCGATTATTGGCCGAGTTTTTGAGTAAGTGAATATAAACGGCTTTCGCCCATTGAGTTACGGTGGCCCCCGCTTTTGGTAGCCGATAGATGGCGCAAGTTGTAGGGACGCGCCAATGTCCACCAATCTTGGGGTTGTCCCAGATGCGTTTCAAACGCGTGTAATTCCCCTGAGTGGCGTTTGAGACTTCTAAATAAACTACTCTATCTTTGTTTATACGCGCGTTGTTATTTGTTTGTCGTGGCAGTAGCGATAAGATGGATTTCGTTTTGCAAAAGGACTGAACGTAATGAATTGCTTCTGCTGTTGGGGTGACGAAACGGGGCACACAAAGCTCGAGTACGTCGCAGAGCCCATACTTTTCCATTGCGTCGACTGCTTCCGTGGACTCCGAGTCCGCTAGAGGCGCCACTGTTACGTCCGCCGCTGCTCCCATAGGTTTTCGGAAGAATTTCCAGTATTAGCGAAGCTATATCGTATTTGCTATAACCAAGCACCCGTGGTAAATATCTGATATTAACAAGAAAATAAAGATTATAAAATTTTTGAGTTCCTTAATCTCAGGCAAGAAGTTTTCAGGAAATGGAAGCAGCTTGGAAGGCTTGTAGAGTCTTTAAGATGTTATGTTGTTTTAAGTTTTGCACAACTTTGAAAATAATTTTCCGTTACACAAAACCAAACGTTCAGAGCTCCGAACTACATGAAGGTCACGCGAATAAATTTTATTTTTATAATTTAAAGTTCTTCAAGGAAATCAAGCCAATCGCATCGATTTATAAAGTAATTAGGGCAAACAATTGCTTTTACAAAGTGATGTTTTATGTTTGTATAACTGTTAATAAAGTGCTCGTATTTTCCGCCAATTTTTAACGGTATATAATAATTAAGGACCTAATGAAGGAAACTAGTGTATTTGTTGACAGCATGGTTCTTTGCAATGTACATTTGCAATGCAATGTAATTCAAGAAGTAAGGCATTCTATGGCCTGTGTGCGATGATAAATCTATTTTTAGTGTCGCTAAAGCACAGCTACTGTTACGAGGAACCTTAGAATACATCCAACGCCTTCAATGCTAGAAAAGTTATTCAAATCAATAATCATAACTACAGCTACAGTATAGAATGGACTACACGTGACGCAACCTTGCTTCGGCAAAAAATATATTGCAATATGTCTCGGTATTATTTACTAAAACAATACAGTCAGTAAAAAAAGGCACCACAGAGTTGCGAGTCGACAAAGCACAGCTTATTTGTATTTAATTCAAAAGATTCAGAAGACGCAAAATTCTTTCGATACAAAAAAGAAACGAACTGGTGTTTTTAGAAACGTCGATCACCCAAAACGCTTCGTAGTAAAATGTTGGATAGTTTCGATTGACATGTTATCCAATCTAAATAGACGCACAGAATCAGCCTTGCATAAAATAAGCAATACGAAAACACGGCGTTCGTGAATCAGATACCCCAGAAGGGGAGTGCTGAAGCCCACAGAAAACCAAACGTTTAAACAGTTAATTGAAGAAAGAAACGCTCACATATACAGCCACCTGAAAGTCAGGCCAAAAAAGACTGCTCAACAGTGTCACCAAGTTTAAGGACTGAACCCAGAGCAACAGAGTAAAAAACGTAAAACAGCGTTTCGCCCGAAACGAAGTTCAAAGACCAGGGAAATCACAAATGAAAACGTTACGAAACTTTGTTTCCGGAGAAAAAAGAAAAAGCAACAAGAAATGTGGAATGAACTACATTGAAGCAGCCGATCTGCTTGAACCTATAACAGAACCAAGCGACGTATCGGTGTACAACGCCTCGTATATTGTGGGAACGTTGCTGAGGCAATGTTCCCATTGAAATCACGGAATTCCCTCATGAGCTTAAAGGCAACGTTCTCTCCCGATAGACAACTGACGCGTTTCGAAATCCAACAAGCATGCTTGAGCTGTTAGAAACGCCTTGTGAATGCTAATAGCCACGAAAGCGAGGCGACAAAACGACGACCATTGAGGAGCTGTTTCGATGACGCAATTCTGATCGACTACGAGGAGCCCATAAAGGGGCACGGAGCACTCGCCAAACACGTTTGTGTGCCAGACAGCAACCAAGGATTGAGCATCTTGGACACGGTAAGCAGTGCATTCATTGTATTATCGACACGAAGGGTTTTTTGTAAAGCAGATGAAGAAAACTACTCTTTATTATATTTTATTTTAAACATGTAACCTAAGCAAACACACACAAAACGATTTCATGCTCTTTGAAAAAAAAATTTTTGCTAAAATGTTCAGCTTATATTAAAATTTTAGAGGTAAGAGCCAGACGAAGTATACTCTCACTAACGTAAAACAATAGAGCTGTTTCGACAAATAGGCAGCATCGTCGAAGATGTCAAGCATGTCTTAGAACGCAAAACGACAAATCCTTTGATATGGTTAGACACAAGTGTAACCTAATCTGAAACAGATGGCTTTGTTAAGCAATACTACCATATTGGCCTAAAGGCCTCGTAACCTTAATTTTATACTATGGAATAGCTATATCTACCCATAATGTATGTATTGAACCCTTTTGCTTCTGTTACACCACGCGACAAGTTCTCTAATTTTGGACTAATTATCGAAGTACATGATGAATTGCTACTTTTAAATTTTCGTTTTAGACTTTAAGACACAGCTTTTGTCTCTATCTTTTCAATGAACTTTGTTTAGCTTTATCCTATTTTTAGAAGAGAATTACGAGCTGGAACGCATCGCCATGTTATATGTATTTCCCAGCCAAAAGAACGTGAGTCCGTAGCACTCACTGCCTACCCATATTAAGGCAATATTGAGAGCAGTTAGAAGGAAAATAAGCGCCTCAAAACAGGGACAAGGAACAAAACGACACCGAGCACTACTGAAAACTGGATATTATAGTACAATATACTTCTCATGGGACTCTCAGCAGAGGAAGGTGCATTTTTAATTAGAAAGATGCAGCGACAGTGCACTTACGCCAGTTGGTCTCCCTTCTCTTCCTTTCGTTATATGGTCCAAAGGTTTCTCTCCCAGTTTTAATTTTAAGTTTACCTAGTATTTTTGTTTCTGGCATATTTAGAGAACATGGACATCTGCCGCAGTGCGTGGCGAGTTCAAGAGGGGAAGTTCCTGACAGACAACGCATGCTCGCGTGTGCTGTCATTGAAACACTTCCCCGTCTGCCCCACATACACCTTGCCACAAGTCATTGAGATTTCACACACCACCGACGTAGAACATTCAATGAACTGAGTGGCGTGTTTTTTTCCGCATAGTTCTTAATTTTTTTGTTGTTAATTCTTGCGCAGGAACCGGGCAGCTTTGACGGGGTTGAAAAAACAACGCGCTCCTCAAAGTGTGCACCACTCTCAGATTATGCGAAAGCCGGTGAATACGTGATTTGACCACCGTTCTGGTCTTCTTTCCAGATGCAGCAGTCTCTTTTTCCACTTTTCTTTTAAGCTTTCACGTGAAAGGCTTTGAGACCTCTGTCTAGAAATAGTCAGGGTATCCGGCGGATTTCAGGCGGCCCGCCATGGTCGCTGAAGCTGTCGCTCATGTCATGCTTGCAAGACTTGTCAAGGGAAGCTTTCATCAAAAACAAAGCGATCTCTCTTTTTACCAGTCTAGAATCTGCAAACATGATCTTTTTTTTTCTCGAAGTGCAGGAGCAAATCTATAAACGGCAATTCCCCTGATACCGTGGTTTGATGGGTAAAAGTTAGCCCATGCGATTTGGAAGAAAGCACTCGTAGTGCTCCATTTATTAGCTCTTCGTTGCAAATATGCGACTGTTCCACTGGCACAAAAAAATCACCTACATATATGAATGCCTTACACATGCCAGAAACGCTCATTGTCTCAAAGGTATCAAAGGTATCACACTCTGTCAAAAAGAAATGTCACATAAAAGCGGTGCCACTTGCGACCCTATGAAATCACTCGCCTCTGAACGCATATATGTCATTTGCCAACGACAAAAAGGTTCACCTTAATTACAAAGACCACATTTCCATGAACGAGTCATATCTCACTCGACTTGAGTTCCTAATAGAAATATCGTCGCTCTCCTCAATGCACCGTCTGACCAAATGAACAATTGGGCATGGGGGATAGACTAACAACATATCTTTCACGTCCACTCACAAACAGCGGCGGTGGAGCAGCATGCCTTCTGTTAAATGAGAGCGGTGCGTCACGCTGGTTCGATTAACGTCTTAACATTTTTCCCGGTTACCCCAGGCACAGCAAGGTTGCCCGGACAACAGCCAAGATGAACCTAACGTTGAATCCCATCACGTTTCTGAGCGAGATACAAGAGATGGGGGATCCCAGGACCAGGAACTACCCCGTAATCATGAACCCGCTCTTCGTCTTTCCACTCATTGCTTCCTACCTGTACTTCGTTAAAGTGGCCGGTCCCAGGTGGATGAAGAACAGAGAACCCTTCGAAATCACCAACATCATACGCGTGTACAACCTCGGCATGGTAGCTCTCAACGCGAGGTTCCTCTACATCCTTCTCAAGAAGACGTACCTACCAGGAGGACACTACAGCCTCTGGTGTCAAGGGATCACCGGATACATGGACGAGGAGATGAAAGGATACTACGAAGGTGGTTGGTTCTTCGTAGCTGTGAAATACGTGGACTTTTTGGACACCGTGTTTTTTGTGCTCCGAAAGAAGTTCACGCACATCACGCATCTGCACGTCATCCACCACACCATCGTTGCGCTTAACGTCTGGTACTGGGGTCTGTTCGCTCCGGAGGGACAACCGGCTCTGGGACTCGGCCTCAACGTGTTTGTGCATATCGTAATGTACTCGTATTATTTTCTAGCAACGTTGGGTCCAAGCGTGCGTAAATACCTCTGGTGGAAGAAGTACCTCACCAGACTGCAGATCGCCCAGTTTGTCATCATCATCCTTCACTTGTCCATTCCTCTCTACGTAGACTGCGGCTTCCCGAGGTACCTCGTGTACCTGGGAAGCGCTCAGACTTTTCTCATACTGTGCCTTTTTGTAAACTTTTACATCCAAGCATACATTAGGCGAGCAAATCCTGCCGTGAAGAGTGGACGTGTGGCGAACGGTAGCAAACCCGGCACCTCAAAACAGGACTAGAACTGAAGATGTTAAGCTTATTAGTGCGTTAAAGTTTGATGTCCAGAAAACGTTTACTGCTCAGTAGCTTCTAGGTTAGCCTACAGATGAATGAAAGTGGGAACGACTAGGTTTAGTAATGTTTTTTTTTTTTTTTTTTTTTTTTACTTTTAATATTTTTAAGGCATTTCCAGAATTAGGAAAGCTCAAAGGAGACAGAAAATTGCTTAAATTTAACCAAGGAAGGTGTTATAAAATATACCCTAAATGTCAGTTTTTATTTTACTTCCTATTTTCTCAGGGGTTACAACTCTGACAAATACCGAATTTTAAAAAGGTACTTGCATAATCTAGTTTGTGATATACTCAAATAATATTACAAAGTATACGGTCCATACTTGATTGTATGCGGATAAATTTAGTTTTAACATGGTTTACTTTCCCTTACTGACAGTTAGCAGCATACTAATATAAACCTTTGCAATTTATCGGGTCTGCTTGAAATCAAGCAGTTGTTGGCTACGTAAATCGTCCATGTACTGTGATACAAATGTGTGTATGGCAAAGCAGAAAAGAGTTTCGAGGCATTAATGGCTATTTATTTTTAAACCTGTTTTCCTACTGTAGACGTACTATACTTGATATAGCACCTTGCGAAAGTGGTGAATGTGATTGTAAAGTTTTTGTACAGGGTATTTTGTTATCACCACATATTGGATTGTTCGCCTAATTACACGATCCTACTGTTTGAATAAATATTATGCTTGATTCAAAATTTCAGATAGTGTTTCTTTAATGCAATTCTCTAGCTAAAGTGATTGACCTGATATCAACTGAAAAAAGTGAATAACTTATGTCTAATTAATTTTATCGCACTAAGGGGGTGGGGGGGGGGGGGGGGGGAGGAATTCAATGCGCAAATTTTGTGTTTCTCTTGTTCCTACATTTCTTTTTCTTTTTGTTACTTCAGGCAAAAAACCGGGGCATAAAACTATATATGCGTCATAAGCCCAATGAAAATTCATCCTTCTTTCCGATAAGAAACCCAGGTGAAGACCCATACGCACAAATCCTGCGCGTTTAACATGTCACGTGGTTCCTTTATATTTGTATATAGGCACAATTGCTAACCTCTTTTTGGACGATGTGGCAGGAGGGGTCTGCAATAGTTATTGCGCAACAACGCTAAACAAAATTAAGTAGTATGAAACGCTGATTCTACTCAACAGTATTATGCGCGTTTCTTCGCCTCAGACAAAAATCTACGCTCATCTTGACAAAAGGCGCGCGACGTATCTTCAGTGTTGCAGACGCTACTAAAAATTAACAAAATACGGTAGTCCATAGTTCCCAAAAAAGAAATAGGAACGCTTCCCCGACCAATGATACCCCTAAATAAAAGGAACGTGTTTCAGTAACCGTTTCAAACAAAAAAATGAAAGAAGTTTACAATTCTCTGTAATGCCGGACCAGAGCGCAGCTCTTGAGGAGGAGGAGAGCAGGGTACGGAGAGGAGGGTACACCCCTCCTCCCCCTCCCTCCTCCTCTCCTACTTTCCACCCATTTAGCGGGAAATGTGCGTTAAATTTCCCGTTAAATTTAGCGGTAACATTTCTCCGCTAAATTTAGCGGGAAATTATTCTGCCAAATTTAGCGGGGAAACTTTTCTGCTAAATTTACCGGGGACATTTCCCCGTTCATTTTTAGCGGGGAACGTTCCCGCCAAATTTAGTGGGGAAAATTCTCATCTAAGTGTACTGGAGAAATTTCTCCGTTATATTTAGCGAGGAAATATTTCCGTTAAATTTGGCGCGGAAATTTTTTTTATAATGCAACGCTCGGTTGCGCCCGGTTGCATTATTCCCATAATGCAATGTGCGAGGTTACGCCGGCGCCGACGGCGACGCTTCTCAATCCGAAATCGGGCGCCAAAGAGCTGCTCTCTAAAATTAATGCAGCTTGGTTTTGCGTACCATTTTATTTATGAATCGAAGCTCTTCCGAGTAAAATGTTTAAAAAATTACCTAATCCTTCTTTTTCTTTTAGGCTTCCGTTTGGATATTTTCGAAAAATAACGTGCCTAAAAACACGAAAAGCATTGAAGTGCAGTTTCTTTCAAATCTTGGGAAGCAAAAATGCAGCGATTAACCCAAGTACGCTACCCGCTACTCGAGATAAGCTACTTAAGGTAAGATATCCGTTCCTGCTTTCAAAAACCTAACTTGTAGGTTCCTACGTTACACAAAGTAACGGCCGATAGCGCATATATTACATTCGTTGTCAGGCACGTAGCAAGGATTTTGATTTGGCAGGGGGGGGGGGGGAGCAAAACGAAAAAGGGGGGGGGGGGGCGACACAATGCCCGCTCCCCCTTTCCCTGAACACGTGCCTGTTTCTAGAGTCGGGCTGCTTTCAGAAGTAGAAAGGGGTAAACGAAGCATAATTATCCTCCGCGCACATAAGAAAAAAAAAAACATTTGCATTAATCCCCACTATTTAGCTTTGGCATCAGTTTCACCGGTGACTATGATAGATTTGTCTTAATTGCGTAGCTCCTTCCCTTGGGAAATCCGCAGCGTTCGGCGCGCTTTCACCTAGCCGATTCCCCCGTCCATTGGAATATGTGTGTGTGTGTGTGGGTGGGGGGAGGGGGGGGGGGAAGGGGGGGGACCCCAAGCTGCAGCGTAAAAAACGAAAACAAAAACAAATCATAATCCAGCTTAAATACTTTAAAGCGATAGTAAAACCTTGATCGCAGACTATATTCAAAGATTAGGTGCGTGTCAAGTTAGGCGCATATACCTTCATTAGAATATTATGTCACGTGCTTCTCTGTTTATATGGCATTACAAATTTCAGAGGCGCAGCTCTAGCGCGGCAAAACTTGTTTTGGTATTTTCTCGGCCTTAGGATCCTAAGTTTAACGTCCTGCAACAAGGTAATCTCGATACAAACTGTCACGCACAAAAAACCTCAACGACTCCTTTTTATATTTATATTGACCTTCACACTTTTATACATATGGTTAGGTGCAAGAGCAAGGTATATCCTTTTTTCGGAGCTATCGATTTTAGGCAAATATGTCAACTCGAAATCAGACAGTTTTAAAACCCTTGCGAAGTACACTCACTTTGCGAAATTTGGTTTGTGTACGCAAAGCGTGATTGCAATGAATAGTCAGCTTCTCCGAGTAAGCACACAATTCTGTTCTGAGGTTCTGACATTTTCCGTCTTAAGGCTACCCGACTTAAGGCAGGACACGTCAAGCACACAAAAATTGAGAGCATTAGTCTTAATAAAATGTTTAAAGAGGTTGTTAGTGTTAAGGTAGCGGAGGTTTTAGAACGTCAGCCCAATAACTCAGGGAGCATGTCGCAAAACCCAGAGTGACCTGAAGGGAGTCCAAGAAGTGGTCCCTCTCCGTCACCCACGGCAACAGGCACACCTACTCTTGCTTCAGATGGAATTCTTGATGACAGAGCGCTTCTATAACTTTTCGCACATGTGCAGCTCGTAAAACGTAACCAAATGACATCCGTGCGTTGAGGCAGTTATAACTCTTGAAAGCAAAACCTTCGTGCCAAGTTCGAAACAATTCGTGACCAGGTATTATCGGCATCGAGTTATAGCTAAGAGTAATTCGCGGTAAATTACTGCAGCAAAAACAAAAACAAACGCATGGAAAAGCGGGCGTCAATGCTCGATGAGGTGCGTAGGAGTCAGCAGAGTAATTTTTTGTGGTAAAAACTGTCGCGTAAAGCACTTTGATTAAACACAAACACGGTAACTGCTTCGATTCAACGATTTTACTGCACGATTTGTTTTCTCAAATATTACCATAACATTTTTAACGTACAGGGTGGTACAAGGAGACGCTAGGCTCTTTAAATCGACCGGAAAATTCGGTTCCTTAACCTATCGCGCTACTACTTTGTGCAGCGTTGCCCACAGATGGTGCATTTTTTTTTTTTTTTATTTGTAAAGAGCGAACTTACCAGAGGAAAAAGTAAAGGAAGAAAAAGGCTTAGCTCCTATGGAAAGGCAGCGATGCCACCGGTCTGCAAACAACACGGCGCCGTTTCGCACGGGAGACAAGAGATGGCGCAACAAACGCGCACACGAACGAACGAGCATACAGCGCCGAGAGCAGGACTTTTTAGCAGACGACATTTTCGACTCAAAACCGGCGCGCGTACCGCAGGCGGCGACAGTCGCAGAAACAAAAAAGACAAACGCGGTAACAGCACGGAACTGCAGTTTCTTGTCTGCTAAAGGGCCGGCTCTCGGCGTCGTCTGCTCGTTCGTTGGCGGCAGTAGGCGTCGCGACCGCTTGTGCCATCTTTTGTCTCCCGTGCGAAACGGCGCCGTGTTGTTTGCAGACCGGTGGCGTCGCTGCGTTACCATAGGAGCTAAGCCTTTTTCTTTCTTTACTTTTTCCTCGTGTAAACTTGCTCTTTGCAAATTTTACCAAAAAAAATGCACCATCTGTGGGCAACGCTGCACAAACTCGCAGCGCGATAGGTTAAGAAACCGAATTTTCCGGTCTATTTAAAGAGCCTGGCGTCTCCTTGTATCACCCTGTATTATTATTTGCAGACTAGGACCAACCTAATTAAATGTACAAGAAATTACCACAGTAAAAAAAACGGCACGTGGTAATGAGAGAGAAAATAACTTTCTGAAGATTTAGTTCACCCCAAGTTGCGCAAAGAGAATACAAGAAATAACTGTGACGGAGCCAACGAGATTGGCAAAGTAAGGTAACGCACGTCGTAGAGACAACTCTGAGTCGGGTGAAATTGCCGGGAACCTTTCCCACGCTCCTGTGGGGCGACTATAACGGTTTCTAGATTAGCAGGAAACGAATTGCAGGAATTAGCGCCGCCGATGCCGCAACAAGCTCAGTTGGTGTCTTTTAGTATCGGGAGCAGCAAAGGTTCTGACGCACATAACGAATGCATAAAAAGAAAGCTGACCCTGACTCGGAGTTGGGTGCACTCCAACTGTGGTTAAACAAATCC